GTCGTGGGGCTTGAACTCTGGGCCTGGGCGCTCAAGGTGAGTGCTCTACCACTTGAGCCACAGCACCACTTCCGGTTTTCTAGTGGTTTATTGGAGATAAGAGTCTCATGGACTTTTCCTGCCTGGGCTGGCTTTGAACCGTGATCCCCAGATCTCAGCCTCCTGAGTAGCTAGGATTACAGGCGTGAGCCACCAACGCCCGGCTGCCTTACCTAGTTTTGAATCTGATCCTGAGTAGCTAGAATTACAGGCTTGAGACACCAGCACCTGGCTCCAGGCTGGCTTTGAACTGTGATCCTCAGATCTCAGCCTTCTGAGGAGATGGGATTACAGGTCTGAGCCTCCTGCACCCATCTTGCTGTGTTGTTGTTTTTCAGAACCCAAATCAGAGACTATTTGGACTCTGAAGAGGGCTTTTCTAGAGACAGTGGGAGCATGTGAGCCTTGGGCTTTCTTGAAACATCTGTCTTCTGACCACTGAGTTCAGAGACAGCAAGACCGCAGGGGACTGATGTGGTCAGTGAAGCTTTTGTGGGTGAGATGGTACTGCAGCCAGGCTTGAAAAGGCTCACTCAGCAGGGAAGAGTGGAATGTGGCCCCTGACACCTCCAAAGGATGCCCGAGGGAGTGGGGGGGCTGATGTTTGTGTAATGGAACATTACCAGCTCTGTGATTCTTAGCACAGTGGCCTCTAGCCTTGTAACCCAGGCTGCTCCAAATCCCATCTCCTCCTCTTCCCTTCCTCCCCCCTCATTCTCTCCCTCCCCTTCCTCCTTTCCCTTCCTCCTATGCCTTTCTCCCCCCCTCTTCTTTGAAATATTTTTATTATTAGAAAGGTGATGTACAGAGGGGTGGCAGTTACATAAGTCAGGGAAAGAGTACTTTTTTTTTTGGCCAGTCCTGAGGGGTTGAACTCAGGGCCTGGGCACTGTCCCTGAGCTTCTTTTGCTCAAAGCTAGCATTCTACCACTGCCACAGTGCCACTTCCGGCTTTTTCTGTTTATATGGTACTGAGGAATCAAATCAAGGGCTTCATGCATGCTAGGCAAGCACTCTACCACGAAGCCACATTCCCAGCCCCAAGAGCACTTTTCTCTCTTTTTTTTTTCTTTTTTTTTTGCTGGTTGTGGGGCCTGAACTCTGGGCCTGGGCGCTGTCCATCAGCTCTTCAGTTCAAGGCTAGCGCTCTACCACTTGAGCCACAGTGCCACTTCTGGCTTTTTTCTGCTTATGTGGTGCTGAGGAATCAAACCCAGGGCCTCATGCATGCAAGACAGGCACTCTACAACTGAACCACCTTCCCAGCCCAGTGTATTTCTTTTTGGACACTGTCACACTCTTCCTACCTTCTTAATCCGAGGATAGAATGGGTTCTCTACTTGGACAAAGGCTAAAGTTCAACAACACTAGACCTTGCCCTCGTGGGGTAAATCAGAATGCTGGAAAGTGCCACAGGAGGTACAAGATGGGGTGTAATTCCAGCCTACTGAGAGGTTTTTTGTTTGTTTCTGTACCAGTGCTGGTTTAACTTCAGGGCAGGGGTCTTGTCACCAAGCCTTTTGCCCAAAGCTGGTGTTCTAACCACTCAAGCTGCATACAGCTCCACTTTCTGCTTTTTGGTGGTTAATTGAAGATAAAAAGTCTGATGAACTTTCCTGTCTGGTCTGGCTTCATACCACAATCTTGAGTAGCTAGGATTATAGGCATGAGCTACTAGTGCCTGGCATAAATGCACACGTGCTCCCCCCCATCTCTCCCTCCCCTCTTCCCTCTGTCTCTCTCCCTCCCCCAGCTGTGGCACTGAGAAGATTAGGGACTTGAAGGCTGGTCCCCTGCCAGCTTGATGGCTCTGAGGGGTTTTGGTGTGGGTGGACTGTTTACTTGTGAGCTGGGGCCCAATCAGCCCTGAGGCTGGAGGCCAGTGACTCCACTGGGTAGAGCGTCTAGTTCCTTATCTATAAAGGGGGAGTTATAAGTTATACTTATCTCATAGCGTGGCCTCAAATGAGATAACACACCCGAGGTTTCTGTAGGGCACAGCCGCAGGTGGGCGTGTGGCTGTTACCTGTTTTCTCTTGGCCACCAGGCTGTGGTCCGCTATCCTCACCACAGCTGGAAAGCCCAGCCCATCCTCTCGTCTATTCCCAGGCAGAGTCTGGGTACCAATTCGCAGAGGGCCAAGGCCATGAGCTTTATTGTCAGGATGTCGTTTAGATTCATTTCCCCATCATGGAAAATGTTAAGCTGTATAAGGCTGACAATGGTCCTAACTTACTTATTCTCCATGGCTGTGGAGTGTGCCTTTGTTAAAAGCATCCTAAATTAGGCCAAGTGTGATAGCTCATGCCTGTAATCCTAAACTACTCCCAGAGGCTGAGATTTGAGGATTGTGGTTCAAAGTCAGCCAGGGCAAAAAAAAAAAAAAGAGCTGGGCGCTGGTGGCTCACGCCTGTAAATCCTAGCTACTCAGGAGGCTGAGATCTGAGGATCGAGGTTCAAAGCCAGCCTGGGCAGGAGAGACCGTGAGACTCCTATCTCCAATAAACCACCAGAAAACCGGAAGTGGCGCTGTAGCTCAAGTTGTAGAGCGCTTGCCTTGAGCTGAAGAGCTGAGGGACAGCGCCCAGGCCCAGAGTTCAAGCCCCACGACCGACAAAAAAAAAAAAAAAGAATTTGTGAGACTTGACTCTCCAGTCAACCACCAACAAACCAGCAATGGTGGTATGGAGGTATAGCTCAAGTGATAGACTGCCAGACCTTGGGTGGAAAATGTAAAGGGAGGGTGCCTAGGCTGTGAGTTCAAGCCCTAGTATGGTCATGTGTGTGTGTGTGAGAGAGAGAGACAGAGTAAGAAATAGAGAGAGACAGACACTGACTATAGTTGAACTCTGAGACAGATTACAGAGATAAAGGCCTGTGAGAATGTTTAAGGAAAGCAAGTGATTGTGCAAAGGTATATAATGTTGACCTCAGAGCTGGGGGGTGAGGATGTACAGTGTCCCAGCCGGTGCCTGCCGCTGTTCTGTGCGAGTGGGCGCATCTTGCATGGAGTCTCCTCAGCCTGAGTGTGATTCCTTTGTTCTTTGTGCCTCCTCCTCCTCTCTGCCCTCTCTGCAGGTGGCATGAAACCCAACACCTTGGTCCTGGGGTTCTATGATGATTCTCCTCCCCAGGACCATTTCCTGACAGACCCGGCTTTCTCTGAACCTGAAGATGGCACCTGGGAGGGAGGGTCCCCATCCCTGAGCACGTTGTTCCCGCCCCCGCGGGCTCCGGGGAGCCCCCGGGCACTTAGTCCCCAGGACTACGTGGCCACTGTGGCAGACGCCCTGAAGATGAATAAGAATGTGGTTCTGGCTCGGGCCTGTGGGGCTTTGCCCCCCGAGAGGCTGAGTCGGGGGTCTGGGAGCCCATCTCAGATACATCACGTAGATGTGTGGCCCCTCAACCTGCTGCGGCCCCGAGGGGGGCCTGGCTATGTGGATGTCTGTGGCCTCTTTCTGCTCCAGATGGCTACCATTTTGGGCATGGTGCCCGCCTGGCACAGTGCCCGCCTTCGGATCTTCCTGTGCCTTGGGCCCGAGGAGGCTCCTGGGGCGGCCGAGGGGCGTCTCAGGGCTTTGCTGAGCCAGCTGCGGATTCGAGCTGAGGTGCGGGAGGTGGTGTGGGGTGAGGGGACCTCAGACAGGGAGCAGGAGGAAGAAGTGGAAGGGGACTTTGTGAACGGTGGGCAAGGAGAGGCTGAGGCAGAGTCTCTGGCCGCCAGTGCCAACGCCTTGGTGCGGGCCCAGCAGGGACAATGCAATGGAGGGGGGCCTGGGGGCCCTGAGGGCGGGGAGGGCAAGGAAGGGTCCATCACCGCCCTCACCTTCCTGTACCTGCCCCGGCCTCCTGCCGATCCTTCCCGGTATCCCCGATACTTGGCACTGCTGGAGACACTGAGCCGAGACCTGGGGCCCACGCTGCTTGCCCACGGTGTCACCCCAGTCACCTGCACCGACCTCTGATGCTTAGGGTCAGGTGGAGAAGGTCCAGCTTCATACTAACGAAGCCCAGGCCTGTGCAGGGCCTGCCCTTGGGGGTTGCAGAATCTGGCGTTTTCAGGGGGGGGACATCCTGGGACCTCATGCACTAATGCTGAGCTGGACCCCCTGGCACAGGAGTGGGGGTGTCTGCAGCCCTCCCCCTGATGCCCGGCCTTTCCCTTCACTGGTGCCTTGACCGGAGGAGCTGGTCTCCTGTGACTCTAGGCTACCTCAGCGTCCACATCCTGGCCACAAACTCTCCGGGCCCCCCCTTGGGTGGTGATGATTTTGTTGGTTTTGTTTTCTTTTTTTTTTTTTTCTAACTGCTGATCATAAATAAAAGACTTAGACACTAAGGTCCTGGCTGAGCACTGGGTGGGGGGGAGAGGAAAGGGTGAGGAGGGTGGGCTGGGAAGGGGGAGGTCGGGAAGGGGGTGCAGGGGTGGGGGTGGGGGAGGCCTTGGCGGTGGGGCTGGCCTGGCCTGCACCTCCCAGCCCCTGGGTACCCCGTGTCCAGTGGAGATCCACCCTCCCCCAGGCGGGAGGGGGGGCCAGCCCAGGGGAGGGAGGGACCGCAGATTAGGGCCTGGAGAGCCATGTGACTCGCCCCCAGGAATGCGGTGACGTCACCGGGGGCGTGGCCGTCCCAAAATTGGGGAAGAAGGAGGAGGAAAAAAAAAAAAAAGGCCAGAAAAAAGTTTCTTTGCTGGAGTCCCAAACGAAGTGGAGGCCAGGAAGCGGGCCACGAGGCCGCGGAGCCCCGGCCCCTTGGGGTCCTGACTGCTGCCTGGAGTCCCCTCAGTTCCAGACCATGTCGGGGCCCACCTGGCTCCCCCCAAAGCAGCCAGAGCCCGCCAGAACTCCTCCGGGAAGGGCGCTTCCCCGAGGGCCCCCGGGGCCGCTGCCGCCCCACGGAGCAGGTAAGCCGCCGCCGAGACCCCCCCCACCGCCCCGTCCATCTCTGCCCCCCACAGCCCTGACCAGGCCCCATCGGCCTTCTACATCTTCCCCAAGCTGGCTGGGCCCTGCAGCCCTCCCCGCCTCCCGCCCCAGTTTCCTGCTCCCCAGGTGCTAGGAGAGGACAGGGCTGGAGAGTGGCCTCCCGAGGTTGAACCCCTCTGCCCTCCAGCCCCCCTTTTGATCTCTGTCCCCTCCCCCACAGCGCTGCAGCCCCATCCCAGGGTCAATTTTTGCCCCCTCCCATCTGAGCAGTGTTACCAGCCTTCTGGGGGACCAGAGGATCGGGGTCCAGCCTGGGTGGGGTCCCATGGGGCACCCCAACGTTTACAGGTGAGGACTGAGGGGGAAGGGTCTGATGGTGGCGTGTGTGTGTGTGTGTGTGAGAGAGAGAGAGAGAGAGAGAGAGATGCAGGAATGGATAGGACACATTGTAAATGTATCCTTCTCCTTGCTTTGACTTCATCCAGGGGCTCCCTCCAGACAGCAGGGGGTGCCTGCGCCCTGGAAGTCTGGATGCAGAGATAGATTCGTTGACCTGTATGCTGGCTGAGCTGGATGGGGGTCGCAGTCATGTTCCCCCACGTCGCCCTGATCGACAGGTGACATCCCTGTCCCCCCCTTGTGCCCAGCCTCTTCTCCCGCCTCTGGTGGGCAGTAGCTTCTGTCCTCTAGGAAATCAAAGATTTCCTAGTAGGGAGCAGATAGGAGGTCCTTCCTGGCCTGTCAGCCGCTGGAGGGCTGCGCCTTGTCAAAAGCTGGGCCTTCAGCCAGGTACAGGTAGCTCACTCAGGAGTCTACTCAGGAGACTGAGATCTAAGGATCATTGTTCGAAGCCAGCCCAGGCAGGAAAGCCTGTGAGCAGCTTATCTCCAATAAACTACTTAAAAAACAAAAGTGGAGCTGAGGCTCAAAGGGTTAGAGCAATACTAGCTTTAAGCTAAAGAAGCCCAGGGCCAAGACTCAGGCCCTGAGTTCAAGCCCCAGGACTAGCACTAAAAAACAAAGGCCCGGGTTTCTCTGGGAAACTTGCCACACTGGGTCTGGAAACGTTGCTTATAGCAGCTGCTTTGCATTTCTCCTCAGGCCTATGACCCTCCTCCACCCCCTGCCTACCGCCCGGGCTCCCTGAAGTCCAATGGAGGGACTGGTCCATCCCCACTGCTCCCAGCATCCCCCTATGGGGGCCCCACTCCGGCCTCCTATGCTACCGCCAGCACCCCAGCTGGTCCGGCCTTCCCAGTGCAAGTGAAAGTAGCTCAACCTGTGAGAGGCTGTGGCCCACCCAGGCGAGGGGCCCCGCAGGCTTCTGGGCCCCTCCTGGGCCCTCACTTTCCTCTCCCAGGCCGAGGTGAAGTCTGGGGGCTTGGCTACAGGAACCACCGTGAGCCAGGGTCAGGAAGCAAAGAGGAAGTTGCCGGGGTCTCAGGCCCTGTAGGAGGAGGAAGAGGAAGCGGGCATGGGCACCAGGTAAGTCTGGCCATGGACGGGGTGGGAGGGCTTGGAGTCAGAACTGAGAGACTGATTGGGTGGGTTGGGGACTAGAGGTGGGGCTTAAACTCAGGGCCTGGCCACTGTCCCTGAGCTGCTTTTTGCTCAAGGCTAGCACTCTACCACTTGAGCCACAGCGCCACTTCTGGCTTTTTCTGTTTATGTGGTACTGAGGAATCAAACCCAGGGCTTCATGCCTGCTATGCAAGCACTCTGTCATTAAGCCAAATTCCCAGCCTCCCCTGAGGGATTTTTTTACAGGAACCATATTCCCACTGATGATCTGATTCACGCTCCAGGGCCCCCTGAGCCAGCCTCCGGAGGAGGAGCTGGAGAGACTCACCAAGAAGTTGATGCAGGACATGAGCCACCCGCCTAGTGGGGAGTATTTTGGTGAGCTGCCTCAGCGGGAAGGAGGGGGAGGGAAAGGGGGCTGCTGATCTGCTGTCCTGTGCAGGTTGATCTGTCCCTCCCTGTTCCCCAGGCCGGTGTGGTGGCTGTGGAGAAGTTGTGGTTGGAGATGGAGCTGGAGTCGTGGCCCTGGACCGTGTCTTCCATGTTGGCTGCTTTGTGTGTTCAACATGCCGGGCGCAGCTCCGAGGCCAGCATTTCTACGCAGTGGAGAGAAGGGCCTATTGTGAGAGCTGTTACGTGGTAGGTAGTTGGCTGCGTGGGGGCGGAGAGACAGGAGGATCCAGATAGACAAATCCAAAGGAGCAAAGAGGGCTTGAATGGGGCAGCAGTGAGAAAGTAAGCAGCTAAAATCTGGGCACTGATGCCTAATACATGTAATCCTGGCTACCTAGGAGGCTAAGGTCTGGAGGATCATTGATATCAGCCAGCTTGGGCAGGAATGTTCCTAAGACCTTAACTGGCCAGGCACTGGCAATTTACACCTATCATCACCCTAGCTACTCAAGAGGCTGAGATTTGAGAATTGCCATGCTCCAGAATAAATAGCAAAAGGCAGGACTTGAGGGCATGGCTCAAGTGGTAAAGCACTTAGCCTAGCCAGTTTGAGGCCCTGACTTGAAATACCTCCCCCCCCAAGAAAAAAGAAGAGAGAGAGAGAGAGAGCGTGCGCGTGCATGCAAGCAGGCAGGCAAGCTAAATACTAATTTCTGCAGAGGATTACCGTTACTTTTTTATTTTGTAGAACTTGAATTCAGAGCCTTGTTCTCATTTAAGCTTGTTTGCTCAACCATTTGAGGTATGCAACCATTTGAAGCACACCTGCACTTCTGGGTTTTTGTTGGCTAACTGGAGACAAGAGTCTCACAGACTTTGCTGCCCATGGTGGCTTCAAATTACAATCCTCAAATGACAGTCTTCTGACCAACAAATATGAGGCATTTTGGAGTTAAGGCCATGTGTAGAATTTCCATGAACCCCTGGGAAGCAGAGATCACGACAGACTGATTTTTTTTTTCTTGTTGGTTGTGGGTCTTGAGGGCGCTGTCCCTCACTTTTCAGCTCAACGTGAGCATTCTACCACTTGAGCCACTTCGCCACTTCTGGTTTTCTGGTGGTTAATTGGAGATAAGAGCCTCACAGCCCTTCCTGCCTGGGCTGTCTGAACCATGATCCTCAGATCAGCCTCCTGAGTAGCTAGGATTACCGGTGTGAGCCACCGGTGCCCGGCCGGATTAATTTTTATAGGGACCCAGAAGCTCAGATGTGTTGTGCTCCTTATTTGGGAAGCTGTGGGGCTAGGATGTGAATAGTTATCTGCCTTTCTGTGCATCCTGGGCAGGGCAGGGCAGGGCAGGGCAGGGGGTTACAGCACACAGGCAGCAGGGTGGGTGGGGTGCTGGAGCGCTTGCCTCTCACCTTCCTGTCTTCTTTCTCAACAGGCCACCTTGGAGAAATGCTCTACATGTTCCCAGCCTATCCTGGACCGGATCCTCCGGGCTATGGGCAAGGCCTACCACCCTGGCTGCTTCACCTGTGTGGTGTGCCACCGTGGCCTGGACGGCATCCCCTTCACTGTGGATGCCACCAGCCAGATCCACTGCATTGAAGACTTCCACAGGTCATGCCTGGGACTTGCCCAGTCCCAAGATGTCTCACTTCCTTTCTCTTTTTTTTTGCCAATCCTGGGGCTTGAACTCAGGGCCTGAATGCTGTCCCTGAGCTTCTTTTGCTCAAGGATAGTGCTCTACCACTTGAGCCACGCACTGTGGCTTTTTCTGTGTATGTAGTACTGAGGAATTGAACCCAGGGTTTCATGCATGCTAGGCAAGCATTCTTCCACTAAGCCACATTCCCAGCCCCTCCTCTTTCTTTTTTTTTTCTCTCTTTTTTTTTAGTGGTACTGAGGTAGGGCCTTGTGCCTGCTAGGCAGGTCCTCTACTACCTGAGCCACTGTGCTGTGCCCTCAATCCTTTTTGCTTTGTGCGTGTGTGTGTGCGTGCGTGTGTGCGCACGCGTGTGTGTGTGCGCGTGCGTGCGTGCGTGTGTGTGTGGTGCCAGTCCTGGGGTTTGAATTCAGGGAGTGAGTGCTGTCCCTACAGATTTTTTTTGTTTTTGATTTTGGTTCTTTTTTTTTTTTTTTTGGTCCAGTCGTGGGGCCTGAACTCTGGGCCTGGGCACTGTCCCTCAGCTCTTCAGCTCAAGGCTAGTGCTCTACCACTTGAGCCACAGCCACTTTCGGCTTTTTTTCTGCTTATGTGGTGCTTAGGAATCGAACCCAGGCCTCATGCATGCAAGGCAAGTGCTCTACCACTGAGCCACCTTCCCAGCCCATGAATTTTGGTTCTTTTTGGTCAATGCTGGCTGTCTACCAGTTGAGCTATACTTCTGGCTTACAGACTTTCCTGCTCAGCCTGCCTTAGAACCTTGATCCTCAGATCTCAGCCTACTAGTTAGAATTATAAGTGTGAGCCACTGGTTGCTTTTTGGCTGAGATCAGGGTGTCTCATTTTTTTGCTTAAGCTAGTCTGGAACTGTGATCCTCCCAATTGCTGCCTCTCAAGTAGTTGGGATTACAGTGCAGACTATTTTGCTATCCTACTTCATCTGTCCTTCATGTCCCACTGGCACCTCCTGTTTTTAGTCCCTGGTCCTCTCCTCTCCTCTTTTCTCTCTCTCTCCTTTTTTTTTGGTCAGTTGTGGGGCTTGAACTGTGGGCCTGGGTGCTGTCCCTTAGCTCTTCAGCTCAAGTAGTGTGCTCTACCACTTGAGCCACAGTGCCACCTCCAGTTTTCTAGTGGTTTATAGGAGATAAGAGTCTCACAGATTTTCCTGCCCGGGCTGTCTTTGAACTATGATCTTCAGATCTCAGCCTCCTGAGTAGCTAGATTACAGGCGTGAGCCATCAGTGCCCAGCTTCCCTTTCCTTTTCCTCTCTCATTGCCAATACTGAGGCTTGAACTCAGGGTTTTACACTCTGTTGGCTTTTTCTGATTAAGGCTGGTCCTTTTCTGTTTGAGTCACACCTCCATGTCCAACTTCTTGCTAGTTCATTGGAGATTAGAGTCTCAGATTTATTTATTTTCTCTGCCCTAACTAGTTTTTGAACCGTAGTCTTCAGATCTGAGCTTCCTGAGTAGCACCTGGCTCTCCCTTCTCTGACTTGACATCACTATCTTTGTTTTGATCCAAGATGTCGCCCCTGGCTCCTCCCCGCTTTCCATCTCAGGGTTCTACCATGAGTCCCTGCCACTGACCATGGAGCCTCACAGCCACCTTGCTTCCCTTCCATACCCCAGGAAGTTTGCCCCAAGGTGCTCTGTGTGTGGTAGAGCCATCATGCCTGAGCCGGGCCAGGAGGAGACGGTGAGAATCGTGGCTCTGGATCGCAGCTTTCACATTGGCTGTTACAAGTGTGAGGTGAGAGGGGGCCTGGGGCTAGAGCAAGAGGTTTGCAGGGCCTGGGGAGCAGGAAAGGGCACTGATGGAGAGCTGTTGCTTCTTCCAACAGGAATGTGGGCTGCTGCTATCTTCCGAGGGTGAGTGTCAGGGCTGCTACCCGCTGGACGGGCACATCCTCTGCAAGGCCTGCAGCGCCTGGCGCATCCAGGAGCTGTCAGCCACCGTCACCACTGACTGCTGAGTCTCCAGGGAGCACTGTCGCCCAGTCCTGTCCATCTGCCACCCTCCCTGACAGCTGCCATTACAATGTGTCGCCTAATGCTGTCTCTTCTTCCCTCACTCGTGAAATAATAACCCCTCAAGCGTTTACAAAAGACTCGTGTTATCTGAGCCCAACCGATATAAACACAGATTTCAAACTTCTCAAATGATCGAAGCTGGGTCCGGACTTCAGTCTTCTTAGTGCTGGCTCCTTTTTAAATTGTGTTCTGATGTCTTTTTTTTTTTCTTTTTCTGTCATTCAGTACTGGGGATGAATCAGCCCAAGGTCTCACTTATGCAGAGCAAGCTGTCTTCCACTGAGCTACACTCCCAGCCTCTACTCTTTTTTGACAGTTGTGGGGGGCTTGAACTCAGGGCCTAGGCACTGTTCCTGATCTCTTTTGCTCAGGCTCTCTACCACTCTGAGCCATAGCCCCACTTCTGGTTTTCTAGTGCATAATTGGAGATAAGAATCTCATGGGGGCTGGGAAGGTGGCTCAGTGGTAGAGTGCTTGCCTTGCATGCATGAGGCCCTGGGTTCGATTCCTCAGCACCACATAAGCAGAAAAAGCTGGAAGTGGCGCTGTGGCTCAAGTGGTAGAGCGCTAGCCTTCCTTGAGCTGAAGAGCTGAGGGACAGTGCCCAGGCCCAGAACTCAGGCCCCATGACTGGCAAAAAAAAAAGAACCTCATGGACTTTGCTGCCTGGGCTGGCTTTGGACCCCAATCCTCAAATCTCAGCCTCCCAAGTAGCTAGGATTACAGGTGTGAACCACCAGTGTCTGGCTTTTTTGTTATTTGTACTGGGGTTTAGACTCAGGGCTTCATGCTTGCTAGACTGATGCTCTTCCATTGGAGACACACACACCTCTAGTCCCTTTTCACTGGTTATTTTGGAGATGGGAGTCTCACCAACCTTTCTGCCCAGGCTAGCCTCAATTCGTTCTTCCAAGTCTCCGCCTCCCGAGTTGCTACGATTACAGGCCTGAGCCGGCACTGGAACCTAGCTGTACTAAACTTTTTTTTTTTTTTTTGGTCCAGTTGCGGGGCCTGAACTCTGGGCCTGAGCACTGTCCCTCAGCTCTTCAGCTCAAGGCTAGTGCTCTACCACTTGAGCCACAGCACGACTTCTGGATTTTTTCTGCTTATGTGGTACTGAGGAATCGAACCCAGGGCCTCAGGCATGCAAGGCAAGCGCTCTACCACTGAGCCAACTTCCCAGCCCCGACTAAACTCTTTTAAATGTAGTTTGGTGTAAAACCATCCCTGGTCAGCAGGGCCTGAATGCTGTCCCTGAGCTTCTTCAGCTCAAGGCTAGTGCTCTACCACTTGAGCCACAGCACGACTTCTGGATTTTTTCTGCTTATGTGGTACTGAGGAATCGAACCCAGGGCCTCAGGCATGCAAGGCAAGCGCTCTACCACTGAGCCAACTTCCCAGCCCCGACTAAACTCTTTTAAATGTAGTTTGGTGTAAAACCATCCCTGGTCAGTGGTGGAAGCAAGGCCACACACTCAGGAACGGAGCATTTCCGTTACACTTCACATTCACTCACTGTAAAGGGATTTGGGACATGGAGCCTGAGGCGGGCGGATGCTGCTTGTGGCTCAGGCCTGTCCCCCACAGCTTGTCTGTCATCAGAGCATGGAGGTTAATGACAGATCTGCCAGTCCCGTGCGCGCGGGGCACCCTTGGTTTTGCAAACGGTGTGTGCTGTGCCAATAGAGGCTGGTTCTCAGGCCCGCGCCCAGGCTCACGCCTGTAATCCCAGCTACTCGGCAGGCTGAGATCCGAGGATGGCGGTGAGAAGCCAGCCCACGTGGGAAATTCCGTGAGACTTCTCTCCAGTAAACCACTCAAAAAGCCGGAAGTGGTGCGATGACTGACTCCAGGCGGCAGAGCGCCAGCCTCGGGCCTCCAGGCCCTGAGTTCGAGCCCCAGGACCCGCGCAAAATCAGAAAGGCTGGTTCCCTTGAAAGTGCAGAAAATGGTGGGCCGCACTGCAAAATGGTTGCAGTGCCGGGACCCCGCGTCCCGAGGAGATCCGAGACCGTTTCAAAGCCCAGGACGTGAACTGGCTGACAGAAAGGAGATGGGGGGGAAGGCGCGACCTGCGACCTCTGACTTCTGACGTCCGTCTGAGGAAGGGCTCCCGAGAGCGCTTGCTGCCCGCCCTCGCGAGATCCCAGGTGGCCCCGCCGAGCTCCCGTAGTTCCCTCGGTGTTCGCGCCTTCGCGCTCAGGAGGTGCGCGAGACTTCTGTGGCTCCGCCCCTTCCCGTCATCCCTCGCGTCCCCCTTTTCCCTCCTTCGGGCCTCGCGGGGCCTGGTTCGCACGGCGGGGCGTGCGTGCGTGCGTGCGTGCGGCCCAGGCGCGCGGCCGCCGCTCCGTCTCCGCCGTCCCCGCTCCCCCCAGTCCCCCCGGCCCCTTGGCTGAGAGCCCCACGTTCCCCTGTCGTCCCCACCGTTCTCGTCGTGTGCCCGGAAGACGCCCGCAGGCGCGCGGGGCTAACGGCCGCGGTCGCTCCAGGTGGGGGAGGGGCTGCGGGCCGCGTGGGCGGGGCGGGGACCCCCCTCCCCCCTCCCCGGAGACCGGAACCGCGAGCCCCGAGCCCGCCACCGGCCGCGGATTGCCAGGTCCCCCGGCCGGCCGGCCTTGGCGGGAGGGAGGCGGCCGTGCCCGCCTCTCCCGGTGCGGTGCCGCCGCATCTTGGGTCCGGGTCGGTCACGTCGCGCCTCCCTCCTCCTCCTCCCTGGGGCCCAGGCCTCTGCAGACCTCACCATGGGTGACAGCGACGACGAGTACGACCGGAGGCGCAGGGACAAGTTCCGACGGGAGCGCAGCGACTATGACCGATCCCGGGAAAGAGATGAAAGGCGGCGAGGCGACGACTGGAATGACAGGTACCGGCGACGCCGGGCCGCAGCAGGGACCCAGAGCCCCCCCCCCCACCCCGTCCTCACTTGCCTCCGCCTTGGTGACTGCGTTGGGGTGACACGTTACATACAATGCAGTTAGCTCCTCGTTGGCCCGTGCTTTGTGCTCTTGAGTAAAAGAACGAGCTGTGGCTTCATTTTTTTGGAAATGCCCTTGAGATCCAAACGGTAGAAGTACGAATTTGGGGTGTACGTAAAAAGTACAGTTTATACAGGCACCGAAAGAATCTTTTTTTTTTGGGTTGCTAATTATTGAAAAGGTTTCTAAAAAAAAAAAGTACCTGATGGCCAAGGAATTGCCTTTCTCTAGCAGGACAGCAGTATTCAAGCAGAGTCATTGGACATTGTCAAATATGCTTAATTGATTGTTTGAAGCAGCTCCTGATTAGCTTTCTGAGAAGTCCGTGTGTGTGTGTGTGTGTGTGTGTGTGTGTGGCATGCCAGTACCATGGCTTGAACTCAGGGCTTTGTGCTTTTTTCTTTATTTTCCCATCTTGGGGCCTGAACTCGGCCTGGGCGCTGTCCCTCAGCTCTTCAGCTCAAGGCTAGCACTCTACCACTTGAGCCACAGCACCACTTCTGGCTTTTTTTCTGTTTATGTGGTGCTGAGGAATTGAACCTAGGGCCTCATGCATGTAAGGTAAGAGTCTACCACTGAGCCACCTTCCCAGGCCCTCTTGTTTGTTTTTTTAACTCAAGCTGGAGCTCTGTCACTACAGCCCCACTTTGGGTTTCTGGTGGTTGGTTCATTGGAGATTAAGAGACTCTCAGACTTTTCCTGCCCCTGCTGGCTTCAAACTGATATTCTTAGATCTCATCCTCTTGGGGGTAGCTAGCATTACAGGGATGAGCCACCAGTGTCTGCTTTGAACGGAGTTTCATGTAGATGTAATCTCTGTCCTTTTGTGGTGCTGGGTTGGAACTAGATTCCTTATGCATGCTTCACAAGCTCTATGTGAAGTCCCATCCCAGCCTCCCCATCTTTCCAGTGCTAGGAGGAAAGAGGTGTGGAGAAAGCATATTACTGCCCGTAGGTCTCTCCATGCATTTTCTCTGTGTACTGTAATCGTAAGGTCTCTCCATGCATTTTCTCTGTGTACTGTAATCGTACAGTGTGAGGAGTTTGATTGTGACATTCTTGTACCTTGAGCAATAACAATTGTGAGTTGATTTGGAGTTGAGAGTTGAAGTACTTTTTTCTGTGCCAAAGGGTCTTGAGTGGCATTTGCATACACCCTGAGGATGAAGTAAGGGGAGCAGTTTCTTTGAGGAGAGTCCTCAGTATTTGTTGCCAGTGATGACTTGGAATATTTCCTGTGAAAGCCAAAACTTTTTTTTTTTGTTGTTGGTCATGGGGCTTGAACTCTGGGCCTGGGCACTGTTCCTCAGCTCTTCAGCTCAAGGCTAGCGCTCTTCCACTTGAGCCACAGTGCCACTCCCAGTTTTCTTTGGTTTTTATTGGAGATGAGTCTCATGGATTTTCCTGCCCAGGCTGTCTTTGAACCACTATCCTCATATCTCTGCCTCCTGAATAGCTAGGCTTACCGGCGTGAGCCACTGGTACCTGCCAAAGGGTTGTTAGTTTGGCTGGTTTTTTAAAACTATTTTGTCCTTTTTGGTACTGGGGATCGAACCCATGATGTTGCACTTGCTAGGCAAGAGCTTTGCCACTGAGCTACATTCCAGCCCAAAAGCCAAAACTTTTTTTTTTTTTTTTTTGGTCGGTCATAGGGCTTGAACTCTGGGCTTGGGCGCTGTCCCTGCGCTCTTCAGCTCTAGGTGAGTGCTCTACCGCTTGAGCCACAGTGCCACTTCTGGTTTTCTAGTGGTTTATTGGAGATGAGTCTCACAGACTTTCCCGCCTGGGCTTGCTATGATCGGTGATCCTCAGATCTTAGCCTCCTGAGTAGCTAGGATTATAGGCCTGAGCCGCCGGCTCCTGGCTAAGCCAAAACTTTTGAAAACTTGTATCTACCAATGTGAGCCTGGCAGCTTCCCAGTGCTTGAAGACTTGTGATAAGTAGCACACTAATGAATACTTTAATTTGATACTGAGATAACTCACCCCAAGAACTGTTAACAGGGGATGGTAGAACAGGACAAGATGTTCACTAATGTGGTTTTAGTTTCAGCTACTCTTTACTTTTTTTTTTTGGTCATGGGTCTTGAACTCTAGGCCTGAACGCTGTCCCCTCAGCTTTTCAGCTCAAGGTGAGTGCTCTACCACTTAAAGCCACTGTGCCAC